GAGACCGCCCGCCGCCGAGGCGGCCCGCCGATGAGGCACCCGCGCGGCGCGGCGGAAGTTCGCCCGCCCCAGGGCGGTTCCAAGAGGCCCGTAACAGACCCGCAAGACGGTCCGCAAGATGCCCGCAAGAGGCCCGCAAGAGGCCAGCAACAGGCCACAGGGCGGTCCCAAGAGGCCCGGAAGAGGCCCGCACGAGGCTCGCAAGACAGTCCGCAAGAGGCCCCCTGGACGGCCCCAAGGCGGCCCCGCGCAGGAGGACGAGTAAGGACAAACACATGAGCTTTCGGAGGTCCGCGTGGATTTCTCGGATCGGCGCTGGAGCCCCCTGGCTGCGCTTCTGGCGCCGTCCCTGAGGCGCTCCGCACGCCAGGGAGGGGGGTCCAGCGCCGATCCAAGAAGTTCGCGCGGACCTCCGAAAGTCTATGTTTATGCCATCATCTGTTCCTCGAAAGACGGCCCCACAAACCTCCAAGACGGCCCCGAAGCGCCCAAGACGGCCCCACATACCTCCACAAGCCTCCAAGACGGCCTAAGATCGCGGCCAGAACCATGTCCACTATACTATGTCATGCTTGCCCACCACTTAGTAGTTGCTTACGACCCAAACGAAGTATGCATGTTCGTAGACATGCATGCGTGCTATGCATGTATGCATGTCTGTATGCATGTTTGTGGCAATCTAGTTATTGATATACATTTCAAGTACGTATTTATGTATGCTTACATGCATGCGCGCATGTATGTATGTATACATGTATTTATGTCTACATGCATGTAAATATACGCATATGCATGCATGCCAGTCTGTCTGCCTGTCTGTCTGCCTTCTTGTATTTATGCATGCCTGCATGCATACACATCTGTATGTATGTATGCATGCATGCATGCATGCATGCATGCATGCATATATGTATGCGTGTATGTACGCAGGCATGTATTTGCGTATGTGTGTGAATGTATGTGTGTATGTATATATGTCTTTATACATGCATGCATGCATACATGCACGAATGTTTGTTTGCATGTATGTATGTATGAATGACAGTATCTATGTATTGTTGTATGGTTCCTCCAGCTCCCCCAACCACCAACACCACAACCTCTTCACTGATCGTCTTCTTTTCCTCCTCCTTCTCCTCCTCCTCCGTTCCTCCTCGTTCTCAGTTCCCCTCATTCTCCGAGCACATGTCTCCCTCCCTCCTCGCCCCTCCTCATCTTCCTCCTGTTCCTCCTCGCCCATCCTCCTCCTCCTTCTCCTTTCCGATGCCTCCTCTTTGCAGCAAGTCAAAACCAAGAGTACGCAGCGTTTGGCGCCCTCGGTGCAAGGTCACGTCTGTTTGGTTTTCTGGTGTGTCTTGGTTTTGGAATCAAGGGATCACGGAGTGTTCTTGTTGTTGTTGTTGTGGTTGTTGTTATCTGTTTATTGGGTTCGGGGGGGAAGTGCTCTCCTCCTCCTCCTTCTCCTTTCCCCCCTCTTCCTTCTCCAAATGCAATTCCTCCTCATCATCATCCTCCTCGTCCCTCCTCCTCCTCCTCCTCAATTTCTGATCCCTCCCCTCTGTAGCAACACAGAACCACTACTACAACGTTTTCATGACCACCATCACCATCACCGTCACCGTCACCATCACCATCACCACCACCATCATCATCACCACCATCATCATCAGCAGCACCATCATCATCATCATCATCATCATCATCATCATCATCATCATCATCATCATCATCATCATCATCATCATCATCATCATCATCAGCATCATCATCATCATCATCATCTTCATCCTCATCACTATCATCATGGTTATCATGTCGACCTCACATACTTATGCACCCATCTTGAGGAACTCTCCAGCGGGAGCCTCGTCTGTGAGTAAATCGAACGGAAGGCTGGAGTGGCAGTCCCCTTCTTATAGAGCCCACGCGTCAGGTTCGAATCCAATGGGGGTCATCGACGAACTTGTTTAAACCTGTAAAACCAAAGGGCTTCTCACATGTGACGCCCTGAATCTAGAGCAAGTCTCGAGAGGGAGCCTCGTTCCCGAGCAGATTGTGAGGATGCGGCCCGAATCTAGAGGAAGTCTCGAGCGGGAGCCTCGTCTGTGAGTGAATGGCGAGGAAGTCATCGGAAAACATTAACACAACTCTGGTTTATCACACCCGACGAGGCCATCCAGCTTTCACGCAGAAGACCCCCCCGAGGTCCGACGTCGACCGGATCTTTCTGATGCGCTTCTCGAGCCAGATCGATCCGTAACATAGCTACCATGATACGCCCGTGTTGAAATTCAACGCGTGCCGTGCTGAACACATCCAGGTTGAAGACGCCGCGTGTTGGCCCGGCACGTGGTGGCCCCCATTCTGGCGAAAGTAGCGCGCCACACCCACGTCTTCAACCTGCAGAGCCTGCACTCCGTGCCACGACGCTGCGAGTCGTGTGTCGCGTGTCGGGGCATGTGAGATCCGTGCGCCCCCCCTTCAGTGCCGTTTTTAATACACGCTCCGCGTGCGGATCATGTATAAGAAATGCAGGGGTTTAGTATTAAAAGCAACGATGGGTTCGTGCATGAATATATTCGTAAATTCGTCATGTATTATATATATATATATATATATTATATAAAACAAAAATCCAATGTATTAAAAACTGCCCTGTAGGGCCCCCGAGGCCCCCGACGCCCGGCTCCTGGTGGCACGGTCGGCCCCCTCGGCCCCCCTGCGCGCAGGGCGCCCTCGGCCGCGGCGGCCCCCCCCCCCCGGGGCCCCCAAAGGCCCCCCGCGGCCGACTCGCGGTGGCACGGTCGGGCCCGTCGGCCCCAGCGCGCGGAGCGCCCTCGGCGGCGGCGGCCGCTCCTCCCCCCGGGCCCAGCGCAGACGCCCCGACGCCGTCAGGGTCCGTAGCGCCAGCTCGTGATGAACAAGCGAGGCCCCCCCCCCCCCGAGGCGCTGATGAATAGACCCCGCGGGGCGCGAAACATTTGTTTTAATCACGCGCGCCAGGGGGTCGTCGCGGGCACCGCCGAGGGGATCGTGTACCCCCCTGCATGGCAGCCTCAAAACGACTGCCTTTCGTATAGAAGTTGTTTTAGGGGTCGTATACATCCGAGGTAAATTCTTTTCCCCCTCTCAGGCGTCGTCGTCGACTACAGCAGGCCTGCGCAGTACCCCCCCGCCCCCATAGGGCATCCACAGTGCGTCGTCGTCGTCGTCGTCGTCGTCGTCGTCGTCGTCGTCGTCGTCGTCGCCGTTGCCGTCCGCCGTCCGCCGTCCTCGTCCTCGTCGTCGTCCTCGTCCTCCTCCTCGTCGTCCTCGTCCTTCTCGTCGTCGTCGTCGTCGTCGTCGTCGTCGTCGTCGTCGACTGCACCAGGCCTACTCGTCGTCGTCGTCGTCGTCGTCGTCGTCGTCGTCGTCGTCGTCGTCGTCTTCGTTGTCGTCGTCGTCGGCGTCGTCGTCGTCGTCGTCGACGGCTACAGACAGACCACGACACACGGGGGGAGGTTGACAGCCCGCCTTGTTCGGATCGGGCGAAAGGCTGAGGAATGAAACGGGGGTTACAAAACCTGCTGCGCGCAGCTGGTTTCGGTCGCCCCGCCGAGGGGCCAGTCCTCGATGCATGGCCGCTTTCGGCGCCAGGAGGCGCTCGAAAAATCAGAAATGTGAGCTGCTTGGCGAATCCCCCGTTTGGCTACGCCCCCTTTTCGTCCAGCCCGCCTTGCTCGCGTCCAGGGCAAAGGGTGCGCATCGGTTCGACAAATATGAGCACGGGAACTGCGGGGGGGAGCGCCGACAGCAGTTGTCTCTCATTTGGAACAGGTGTCGCCCTGGTCCACGGTCCCTGCTTCAGCCGCCCTTGCCTCCCGCCCCCCCCCTCTCCCAGTTTGTGCCGTTTCTGTCGCCTTCTCGCTGGCGGTCAAGCGTCGGCGCTAATCACAGGCGCCGCCGCCGTTGTGTTTCATTTTGGCGGGTGCCACCCCCGCGATTCGCCCGAACAGGAACATTTTTTGTTTATGTATTCATAGATGTACATATTATTTGTCAATCACAAGTTGGCAGACACGCAGGGGCCCGAGGCCGCCCGAAGTGGGCCAAACGCACGGCTGTCCGGCTGTCCCCTGGGTCCCCCCGGGCAACTGGGCGGCTGAAGCGCGTCGCCGCCCCTTGGCGCTCGGCCCGCCCTCCCCCGCCCCAGGCCAATCAGGCGGGGAGGAGAAGGCGGAAGAAGAGGAGGGAGACGGCGAGCATGATGATGATGATGATGATGATGATGATGATGATGATGATGATGATGATGATGAAGCTGATGAGTGATGATGACAATGCTGCTGATGATGATGGTGATGATGGTGATGATGATGAAAAGAGTGGTGATGCGCATGAATAGCGATACGGGTGATTTGGATGACGATGGTGATGGCGATGCTGCTGATGATGGTGATGTTGTTGAATAGTGATGCGGGTGCGGATAAAGTCTGGTATACTTGAGATGGTGAGGGTGATGATGCATAGCAATGCTGGTAACGCTGATGATCGGTGACATTGATGATGGCAACGATGATGATGGTGGTGGAGAGCGAAAATGATGCTTATGAGCTATGTTCGAGATAGCGATGAGGTTCTGATGACGATGAAGAATAAGTGCATGAACAATAACGGTTATGCTAATGAAGAAAAGTGCATCCGATGATTGCGATGATGATGGGGATGTTCATCACACATGATGATGATGATGGCGATGATGAGCGGTGACGATGTATAACGATGTTGAAGAGGATGATGATGGACAAAGCAAATTATTTGGGTAAAGCGTGATTGCCTTGGTGATGGTGAGGATGATCATGCGAATGATGATTCACAGGGATGATGGTGCGGATGAACATAAATCAAGATCACGATGATGAGGGTCATGCTGTTGGTGTAGACGGATGATGGTGTTCATGGAGAAGCATAGCGATGATAATGGTGGTGATGAAGAGTGGCGGTGATGCGGATGATGGGTT